GCCGGATGCCGGCGGCGCGGCGGGCGCTGTGGCCGGGCTGCGAGCGGCGCAGGATGAAGGTGCTGGTGGCGGCGGCGGCGCTGGGCGCGGCCCTCCTGCTCCTGCTGCCCGCGGCCTCCCGCGCCGACGAGCGCAAGAAGGGACCCAAGGTCACCGCCAAGGTCGGGGGGGGAGCCGAGGCGGGGCCGGCGGGGCACGATTGGGAAAGACTCCGAGGGGGGAGCCCGTATGGGAGACCTGGAGAGGGGGAAGTCGGGGTGAAGGGCCCTGGATGAGCTGGAGGGGTCTGGGATTGAGGGAAGGACGGGGAGGGTGGGTGAGGCCGGGAGGGAGGGAGGGTCCAGTGCGGGGGTCGGGGCCCCTGGAAGGGGGCGGCGGGCTGGGGCCAGCTTGGCCCAGGGATGGGGGAGCTGACCGGGGCTGGGCTGGGGCCCGCTGGGCTGGGCGGTGAGGCTGCTGGGGGGATGCAGCCCGGGCTGTGGGGCACCGACCTCGCCTCGTGAGGCCTTGGGCCTGCTTCGAGTTGGTGAGTTGGACTTTGGGGGTGGGTTGGCCCAAAAGGGAGCCCAAGGTGAGTCTGGCTCCCCTGATCCCCCCTAACCTTCCTCCCCCACCCAAGGTGTTCTTCGACCTGCGGATCGGTGAGGAGGATGCCGGCCGTGTCGTCATCGGGCTCTTCGGCAAGACAGTGCCCAAGACGGTGGAGAACTTCATGGCCTTGGCCACCGGAGAGGTGAGGGGCCCGTGGCACCCTGGGCCTCACCTGCCCCTGCTCGGGCCCTGCTTGGTGCCCTGGGGCAGCGCTGGGGCCACGGGCTCTGGTCTGTCCCTTCGCCTCACTCCGTGTTCTCCCTCCACACCCCCAGAAAGGATTTGGCTTCAAGGGCAGCAAGTTCCACCGTGTGATCAAGGACTTCATGATCCAGGGAGGAGACTTCACCCGCGGCGACGGCACTGGAGGTAACTTGGCAGATCCAAGCCACTGTCTTGGAGTGAGACAGCAGCTGCAATTCCCAACCTCTGCAGGGCTGTCCCTGGGATGAGTGTAGAGCTGGAGCTTGGTGGGCATGGAGCTCACAAAGCCGTGGCCTCGGAGCAGAGCTGAGTGCTGGGTAACTGGGGTGCTGGGAGCCTCCTGCTCAGCTCCCTTGGCGTGACACCCCTGCCCAGCCCCTGGGGTGCTTCCAGCTCCCTGCAGCAGCCCATGGCTCATGTATCCCTGTGGCATCAGTGCTAGTCCCTGCTCTGGAATTGCTCATTCCTACCACCACCATCACCCCTACGCCGACACATTCCATGAAAACACTGCGGCCTTTTTGTCCCCACCTTTAGGAAAAAGCATCTACGGGGACCGTTTCCCTGACGAGAACTTCAAGCTGAAGCATTACGGGCCAGGCTGGGTGAGCATGGCCAACGCTGGCAAGGACACCAACGGCTCCCAGTTCTTCATCACCACCGTGAAGACGCCGTGGCTGGACGGGAAGCACGTGGTGTTCGGCAAAGTGCTGGAGGGAATGGTGAGGGACGGGAGAGGGGAAGGGGTTGGTGCTCTGGGCAGGGCTTGGCTGAGCTGGGCCTGCCCAGTGTCCACTCTCACACTGTGCCCCACCAGGACGTGGTGCGGAAGGTGGAGAGCACAAAGACAGACAGCCGGGACAAGCCCCTCAAGGACGTCACCATCGTCGACTGTGGCACCATCGAGGTGGAGAAGCCGTTCGCCATCGCCAAAGAGTGACGGGACCAGGCCCTGCCAGGCTGGGAGGGGCCGTGGGACGGGGCTGCCGCGCTTCCCCTGCCCTGGGGCCACCGCTGTGTCCCAGTGCCCAGCCCCTCTCCCTGCTGCCTCCAGCCACTGGGACAGGGCACAGGCTGCTCTTCCATCACTTTTGTAAGAAGCACATGCACCAATAAATGTGACCAATGTGTTTTTTAAAAAGCTGCCTCTCTCCTGCCTTCAGAGGAGTGCAGATCACTCTGCACCCCTCACCCAGACGCACCCCTCAACCTTCCAGCCCCCCTTCCAACCTTCCTTTTCTGTCTTCTCATCCAGCTGGGAGCAATGCCACAGTTGGCCCTGGGTTTGCTTTGCAGAATTCCACAGCACAGCGCTTTTCCAGTCAGTCAAATCCAGGAGATTTATTGCACCAAAGCCTGGATGCAGAGAGGTTTTCCAGCACCATTCAGCATCCAAAGGCCCATACTGCAAGCCCAAAACAGCAGGGGGGAAGGCAGAGCTCCTGCTCTGCCAACAAAGGCACTTTGCATGGTGGTGAGAGAGCAGTTCCCAACATCCCTTTGGCTTCTCCCAGCAGGGAGGAGTGAGTTTCACCACAAGGATCCTTTCTCTCACCACTGCATCCCTGGGTGCTGGGTGGAACTCATCATTCCAGAGGCTCGGGATGCTGCCGGGCCAGGAGCACAGCTCAGGGGGAGGTAGAGGCCCTGCAGGACCCCGCTGAGGACGGCGTTGGGGAGCAGCTCTGCGAGGAAATGGGGGTGCTGTAACAGCTTGTTCCCTCCTGGGCCCCATTGAGGGAGAAGCACCTTTGTAGGGCCCAGAAGAGGCTCTTGGAGGTTTTGGAGACCTGCTCCACGGCCCTGCTCCTTACCGGTGCCGTGTGGCCGCACGTAGGGATCCGAGCGGAAGCCGAGGATGGGGCGCTGGGAGGGCAGGAGTCTGGTGCTGCTGTGGAGGAGGGAACATCAGTCCTCAGTCTGTCCCCACCATCCCAACCCCAGGGACTCAGGGTGCCTAACGGGGCAGGGGGAAAATTCTGGTGCCATGTGGGATAACCCTGGTGCCAGCAGAACTCATCTACTCACGGGAGGCTGCTGGCCTTGGGGCTCTGCTGGCACTGCCGCACCTTCAGGAAGTCCAGGATGTCCTGGGGCAGCTCCTCGTTGTGGTACAGCACGCCCTGCAATGCTCCAGGGGGGTCAGCACCCCGAAAAACCCCTCCCAAACTCACCACCATGTGTTCCTCAGCCCTAAAAACCCACCCTGAACCTGCCATGCAGTCCTCACCTGCAGGTAGAGCTCCAGGCCCTGCCGGCGCTGCTCCAGCACTTTGGGCATCCAGTTGGGGACATGGCGTGCGGGGAAGTCGGGGACCTTGCAGGTCTTCTTGATCTGAGGAAGGGTGTGGGGGTATCAGGGCAGGGCAGAGAGGACGAGGGCAGGCCTCCCACGTGCCCTCCTGCAGAGCCGGGGGTCTCACCCGCTTGTGCAGCGCCTGGAACTCGCTGTAGCGCTTGGTCACCGTGTGCCGCCGGCCATTGCACAGCACCTCCACCCGGAACACCTGGATGGGGACAGACAGCGTGTGCTCCCCATCAGCCCCAGCCTCACCATCCTCGTGCTGTCTTCATCACCCTCACCATCCCTCATCATCCTCACCAGCCCCAGCCTCAGCACCCTCTCCATCCTTATCTCCTCCACCGTCTTCATCACCCTCACCACACTCACCACCCTCACCACACTCAGCCTTCCAGAGGAGGTAGGAGCTGCTAACTCACACACCTGTGGAGAGCACTTGGAACACTCCACTCCCACTTCTCTAGGACAGGCAGAGACCCCCAACCTCCAGGGCAGACCCCAACACCCCCATGGCCAATGGGGGCACCACGGGACCAGGCAGGACCCCTCAAAGCAGATGGGACACAATTCTCCCCTCCCAAGGGGAGCACAGAGAGGTGTGACATCCCAACCCCCACCAAAGCCCACCAGACAGTTGGGACCTTGGGGCTGGCAGGGACCTCCCAACACCTTGGGGTGTGCAGGGACACCAGGAAGGGACACTTGGGGACCTCAAACCAATGGGACAAAGGGAGACAACCCATCTTTCCCCAAGGCAGGTAAGCCCCCCTGCCATAGTCATGGATCTCCACCCTCCTAGGGAAGACAGGAGAAACCCTTCTTTCCCCACACAGCCAGGGGTCCTCCCCCACTCCACTCCCCAGGGCCAGTGGGGATCCCCCAGGCCAGGGACAGCCCCTGCTTTCAAGGATGGCCCCTGAAGACAGACAGGCATCTCCATCCCACAGGGGACCCCCCAGGCCAAGGTAGAAGGGCAGAGGACCCACCTCAGACCCACCTCAGGAAGGAACTCTGTGGGGACCTCTGCCCAGCACCCCCTGGGCCAGGGATCCCCATCCCTTCCCCTTCAAGGGCTTTGTGTCCCCCTTCCCAGAAAGGGAGCCATGAGGACAGCTGGGGACCTCTCCTCCTCAGGGCAGATGATCCCATCTGCCCCTCTCTCCCCCGGCCTCCTCACTCACTGGAGAGTTGGGACCCTGGGAGGAGGTAAGGGCTGCTGGGAACCCCCTGAGCGTTTGGGGACACCCCGGTGGGCACATTAAGACCCCCACACCCTCCACCATCCAGGGCAAGCAGCACCCTCACACCCAGGGCAGAGGGGACACCCAGAGACAGACAGGGACCCACCCCAATGCCAGAGGGAATTGCATCCTTGCCATCCCAGGTGTAAAGAGTCTGACAGGGACCCCTCAGGGGCACTTGGATCCTGCACTCCTGGGGGAAGGACACATCCCCATCCTGGGTGCACAGGGATATGACAGGGACCCCATGGGAACAGAGGAGACACCCTTGCCAGTGATGCCCCTTCCCACCCCTTCCAGGGGTACAGGATCACTGTCTGTCCCTCCCTCTCACCCCAGCAGAGATCCTCTGGACATAGGCAGGGACAGCCACCCCTGGGAATTTGGGGACACCGGGGGGGGCAACTTGGGGACATCCCAGCCCCAGGGCAGATGTGGGACACACATCCCTGGGGCAGATGGGGGTACTCAGGGATAGACAGGGACCCCAGAACCCTCTGGGGTCAGAGGGGATTCCCAGGGTAGAGGAACAGCCCCAGAAGGCAGCCCCTGGGCTACCCCTGGGACAAATGGGGTTCCCCAGTTACACCTGGGGACCCTCAGTCCCTGAGGCACATGGAGACACCCTCCCGGGCAGGTGGGGACCTGTGGGAGCCACAAGATCCCCAGAACAGGACCCCGGGGTGGGCAGGAAGAGCCTCCAACCCCTGGGGCAAGTGGAGGCACCCCTGGGGCAAGTTGGACACCCCTGGGATGTGGGGACCCCTGGGGACAAGGCAGGACCCCGGGGCGAGAGGGAGCTGCGGGACAGACACACTCCCAACTTCCAGGGCAGAAGGTGCTCCCGGCAGGGAGCCAGGCACAGACCCCCGGGGCAGGTGGGGACCACCCGGGGTACTTGAGGACCTCCAGCCCTTGAGGCTGGGACACTTCAGGGTCGCCTGGGGGAACGAGGGGATCTCCAGTCCCAGAGCAGGTGGGGCAGCCCGGGGAAGGAAGGGAACCCCCAGCCATGGGGGCTACAGGGACCTCTCCCCCTTTCAAAGGTAAAGGGTCTGTGCTCCCCCAGGCTGGGACCCTCCAGGGACAGGCCACAATAATCTCACCTTGCCCACATCCCCCATCCCCTCCCTCAAGGGCAAAGAGTCCCCATGGGCAGCGACCCCTGCGAGGATCCCCGCCTGCAACCCGCGGGTCAGGGATCCCGCTGGGGCTGCCGGGGACTCTCCCGGGGGTGTTTGGGCTCCTCCAAGCCCAGGGCCAGGACACCGGGAACAGAGGACAGTGCTGGGGACGAACAGGACACGGGGGAGGTGGGATATGAGAGACCCCCAGCACCTGGGTTAGGGTGGAAGCACAGCCGGGCAGGGAGAGAGCTCTGGGCAGAGGCAGAAACCTCCAAGCGCCGCAGCCCCCGGGACAGCGGCAGGCAGGACCCGGCACCCCGGAGCAGAGAGAGCCCCGGAGCAGAGAGAGCCCCTTCCAGGGCACCGGGTCTGCGTCTGCCACAGCAGGGACACGCACGACCTCCACTCCCAGGGCACGTGGAAGACTCCTGGGGCAGAGGGAGACAAATCCCCCCGGGAGCATAGGGTGATACCCCGTGGGAACTTGGGGGGCTCCAGTCGTGGGGCAGCTGGGACCCCCCGGAGCAGGGACACCTCCCCACCATCAGGGACCCCTGGGGAAAGGCAGGGACCCGCACTCCCGGGAGGGGCAGGGGACGCTTGGGGACAACCGGCGACCTCGCGTTCCCGGGGCAGAAGGAGACACCCTCACCCACCTTCCCCGAGCGCAGCCGGCCCCCCGCGCCCCGCTCGGCCCCGTCCCTCACCGTGTGCGCCCGCTCGGGGCTGCCCGCCTCCGGGGGCTCGGCCGCGGGGATGGAGACGGCGATCATGGCCCGGGGCGCGGCGGGGCCGCGGGCGGGACGGGCCGGGAGCGGGGCCGGGGCCGGGCAGGGACCGCCCCGGGCGCCCATGGCGGGGTCACGGCCGGCGGGCAGCCCGGGATGAGCCCCAGCCGCACGGGGGGAGGCAGCCGCGGAGCCGCCGCAGGGAGCCGCTTCACAAGGATAAGGGGAAAGGAAAGAGGGAAGTCAGGCCAAGCTGCCTTTTCTCTGTTTGAACGGGTATCGGTTTTGATAAAACGCACACGCGAGGCTGGGAAGGGGGGAAGGGGCAAAGCTAGCTCCGGGGAAGGGGGGTAGGAGCCCCATGGAGCTCTGGGGAGTGCCACCAAGTGGGATTGCTCCAGAGCCCGCTGAGCTCAGATCCCAAAAACGGCTCCCACTGGAGGAAAGGCAGAGAGCCAAACCTAATCAAGAGCGGGGACAGGTGGCCAGAGCAGCGTCCAAGGTCACCTCGGTCCCGTCACAACACGGGGGAGGCTCTGCTGCTTCCCTCGGCCTCCACGGGATGCACCGTTACCCTGCCCACTCCCACCCTCAACACCCAGAGCCTGTTTGCCCTGATAGAAGTTTTATTACAGAACTTTAATGGCACTGCAGGAGTAAGATAATTCAGTAGAGCCTTAAAACCCAGCCTGAAAAATAGATATTTGCCAGATCTCATTAACCCCCTGGCTGCGGGTCTGGTCTGGAAGCAGGAAACTAGTTTCTCTTCAGTAAGAAAATATATGTTGCTAAATGAAAAATATACAGTTAGAAGAGTTACTGGCTCGCAAGCTGTTCTTCTGGGGGTGACACCTCTACCAGCTCCAGCATGTGGAACGAGGGGTCGCTCACGTGGAAAAGAGGAGGAGGAGGTATAGTGTATATAAAAAAAAAAAAAAAAAGGCAAAATTCAGGTTTGTTTGCTCAGTCCAATTAAGAAATGGCCTTGGCTTCGGGCAGGAACGCTTCCCAGTACTTCACCAGCTGCAGGGAGGAGAGGGAGAGAGTCAGGAGCCTTGAGGGTGGAGCTGCAGTGCAGGGATCACGCTTGAGAGATTCACAAGCGGGGCCTGAACTTGGACATAAAAACACATCAGGGACCACTCACCTGCTGCTGAGAGTTCAACAGCGTCTCAAGGTATTTCGTGACGTGGTTTCTGAAGTCCTTAGATTTCTCTTTCTGCAAGAGATGGGCATGAGGCTGCACCAACCACCAAAACCCTCCAGAGTCTGGGAGGGGGAAGGAGAAACCAACAGGATTTTCCTGTTCCTCCTGCGGTCCCGTGAGGAGACCAGGGCATAGGACACAGAGGACCTTTGCCCACCCAGCTTCATTTTAAGATTCCCTGTGGGAAGCCCCCTCAGCGGCACCCCAGCTCACACATGCTGGGATTTAGGGATGCTGCTGTGCCAGGAGGAGGGGCAGGAGCCCAGGGCAGTGCCAAGGGCTGCCCCTGACGTACCTCAAACCGTATCACTTCCTTGCGGATGACAGCAGAAATCCGCTCAAAGTCCCTTTCGTACTGCGTCACCCGGGACTCCCACTGCAGAGACAGCAAGTGCAGTGTGGGCACAGGAGGAGCTCCTGCCCCCTCCATGGGGCTGGAGCCACGACTGTGCATGTGGGAGGTGCTGCTGGAGCAGAGCTCCGTCCTTCCAGCCCTTGTCACCACCTTGGCATGGAGGCCACAGGAGGCAGGAGCACGAGCAGCCCCTCCTGCAGCCCCACGCAAGGCTGGCTTAGCCCTTGGGGCAGCTTGGCCACAGACACCTGTCCCTCCCGCTCAGGAGGTGCCCCCCAGCCCACAAGGTCCTTCCCCAGCCCAGGAGATCCCCCACTGGAGCATGGAGGGCAGGAACAGAGCAGAGACCCCACGCTCTGTCCCCTACCTCTGAGATCTCATCCTTGGCCTGCTGCAGCTTGTCAGGTTTGTTTGCCCACAGCAGCCTGGCCTCCATCTCCCTCTTCTTCTGGAGCATGGTCTGGGCATCCTGCCAGCGCTGCCAGGTCTTCATGCGCTGGTCAAAGGCTCCCTGGAGGGAAGGAGGGGCAGAGGTCTCCTGACAAGGGGACACTGGAGGTCCTGAACCAAAGCTGAGCCACAACACAGACTGGGTCCTGCTCTGGAGCATCCACAGCTCCTGTACGGACCAGTGGACCAAGGATATGGTGGTCTGGCCTTTGGGGCAGGAAGGGGTCAGCCTGCTGGACTTGCTACTCCCATGGGATTGCTTCTTCCCAGTGCACCAGGTGGGCTGTGTGGACTCGATGCCCAAGTTCAGGAGCATCAGCACTCAGGCCCTGCCTCAGCAGGCACTTGGCAGGTCAATTTTCAGCACCTGCATCACAGGTTACCAGCTCACAGCTTCAGCCTTCACCTCTGGAAGGGCTGGGGTCACCCACACGCCATGGACTTGCTGCACATCCCCTCTGGAGAACAGCAGCACAGCCAGGCCTCACCTACAACCATCTTCCAACCTAACCAGTGCACACCTGGACAACCAGCAAGTTTTCCCTCTGCCTGAAGAGGCCATGCCCTGCATGTCCTGTGCTTGAGTTTGGAAGACCTCCTGACATCCCTAAGCCTAGGATGGGTACGAGGAGCAGGAGTAAAGGAATCCTTACCCTCACAACCGAGAGCAGGCGGATGTAGTCCCCCAGGAGCTCGGCCAGGAGGAAGAAGTCATTGTTAGCCTGTTCATGGTGCAGCTGCTCAATCTTCTCCTCCACCTCGGCCAGCTGGGACAACGCCCGGGACAGGGCTGTGTTGTCCTCTGAGCTTCCCAGCATGGCCAGGCTCTTGGCAAACTGGGCTGTGTTCAATGCCAGCTCTGGGGAACGGGATGAAGGTCAGGAGATGGGCCTGGCCGCACCAGGAGCTCCCCAGCAGAGGGTTCAGCCCTTGGAACTGCCTTTCCATAGCTCCAGGAGATACCAGCTGGAAGAGCCAGCACTGGCTCAGAGCTAGCAGCTTCCAGCCATGAGGAAAAGGGAAGCAGCTGAGCGGAAGGACAGGCACAGCTTTGCAGAAGTCAGTGAAAAATGCAGAGGAAGGAAAATATCCCCACTCCCAGAGGTCAGCCCTGCTCAGGTTTGCTACAGCAGCTTTCTGGCCCATGAGGATAGGCTGAGGGAATTAGGGTTGATCAGCCTGCAGAAGAGAAGGCTCCAGGGAGAGCTCAGAGCCCCTGCCAGTGCCTAACAGGGCTCCAGGAGAGCTGGAGAGGGACTGGGGACAAGGGCCTGGAGGGACAGGACAAGGGGAAATGGCTTCCCACTGCCAGAGGGCAGGGATAGATGGGATATTGAGAAGGAATTCTTCCCTGTGAGGGAACTGAGGCCCTGGTACAGGTTGCTCAAACAAACTAGGGCTGCCCCATCCCTATCACTGTCCAAGGCCAGGTTGGATGGGGCTTGGAGCAGGCTGGATAGTGGAAGGTGTCCCTGCCCATGGCAGGACGGGGTGGAACAAGATGGACTTTAAGGTTCCTTTAGCCCCTAAGCCATCCTGGGATTCTATGATCCCACAGGACACAGGTTCCCCTCCACACTGCCATCCCAAGCTTGTGGAGCTGGACAGAAGAACTGGGGTGACCATTTTACACCTGTCTTCCCAGGAGGAAGGGACAGAGAGTCCTTTACAGCACTGTCCCAGCTCCTTGGAAGTGTCCCTGGCACACGTGGCCCTGGTGAGCCCTGCAGGCAGGCCCAGTGTGACTGTCCCAGCCCAAGTGTCCAGCAGTCACCTTTGCGGTGGTTCACCAGCGTCTCCACCACAGCGTGCAGCTTCCGCAGCCGCTGGTCCTCGCACTCCACCTCCTGCAGCTTCTCCTCAAACCACTGCAATGGGTAAATGCAGAGCTGATCCCCACAGGAGGGGCTTTCCCTGCACCCAGAGCTGGAGCTGGGAAGAGCACACAGCCCTGGACTGAGGACAGGGACGCCCAGAGGTGCCCTGACACTTACGATGTCCGATTCGTTCATCTTGATGGTCATTTTACTGACTGCATCCGTGGCTTTGTTGAACATCTTCATTATTCCTGCTCCACTCAAGGTCTGGGTTCCTACTGCTCTTGGGAGCTGGAAAGGAATGGAAAAGTTCACTTTGCCACAGGAGCCAGGCTGGGAGAGCTGGGGGTGTTCACCTGGAGAGGAGAAGGCTCTGGGGAAACCTCAGAGCCCCACTGAGTGCCTAAAGGGGCTTCAGGAGAGCTGGAAAGGGAATCTGAACAAGGCCTGGAGTGACAGGACAAGAGGAAATGAGTTTCCACTGCCAGAGGACAGGGACAGATGGTATATTGGGAAAAAATTCTTAGCTGTGAAGGTGATGAGGCTCTGGCACAGGTTTCCTAAAGAAGCTGTGGCTCTCCCAGCCCTGGAAGTGTCCAAGGCCAGTGGATGAGACTTGCAGCCACCTGGGACAACAGCAGGTGCCCCTTCCCATGGCAGGGGGAGGAATGAGATGGGCTTTTGAAAGTCCCTTCCAGCCCAAGCCATGATTCTGTTTTGCCCATGCTGAGTGATCTCTCCCTGCCCTCACCTCAACCCACAAGCCTTTTGTTTATTTTCTCCCTCACGTCCAGCTGAGGGGATGGTTCAGCAGCTTTGGTGGCACCTGGTGCCAACACCAGCTCCCACTCTTACAGGGCTCTGCCACCTCCCACTGAGCTCTGGGGGATCCTGCCTCATTAACTGCTCAAGAACCATTTCCTTCAGCACTTCCAAAGATTCCTTACTCCACCCCACTGACCTCCTCCTTCTCCAAGAACTCCCTGACGTCCGGGTCCTGCAGCATGGTTGGATGGCTGACCACTCTCCGTAGGTACCTGTGGGAGGAACAACTCCAGCAGTTCCTTTGGCTGTAGCAAATCCAGCTTTTGATTTTACATCTGTCCATCACAGCAACACAGCTTCTGGAGTATTTACTCCAGAACAGCAGCTGGGGAGCTGGACATCAGAGCCAACAACTGTTCTAATTCACCCACAAGTTCTCCTATCTCCCTGGGGAATTTGGTGGTGCCACCACAAAGACCAGACCTCTCTGAGGTCCCTCACTCGGTTCAGGGACAGCCAATGGGGTCATACCTCTCCAGAGCAGCCCGGCGTTTTTCTAGGAACTCTGCAGAGGAGGAATCTTCTTTCCCAACTTTCACTTTGGTCATGCCTAACACAGAGGGAAGATGTGATTAATGAGCAGCTCTAAACTTTACACACAAGGTAAAGTGGTTTATTACAGACTATCAGGGTGACAGTGGAGGAGGGAATCTTACAACAGGAAATTTGAAAAATTTGGAATTTGGAAATTTGAAATCTGCTCGTACCCAAGGAACTGACATGCAGGAAAGAGGAAAAGCAACGGGCTGAACTCAAGTGAACAGCAATTCAGCGACACCACAGAGGTTGTACTCTTCACCAAGCAGCATCTGTGAACTCCATCAAGGATTTAAGTCCTGAGCTCCAAGTATGGAGCCAGAGCTTTGTCTGTGCCACAGAACCCAGATTCTTTTCCTTGTCTACTCTGCAGCTTCCCAGTGAGCTCTGAGACTGCTGCAGGCGAATCCTTGGGCACAGAACTCACACCAGAAGGACTCAGGAGAGCTGTGAAGTGCCAGCACTGGCTCTGTGCAGCTCCTGACTCACCTATGAGGCTCTTCTCGGGCGGCGGAGGGACAATGAAGCCGTTCTGGGCGTGCTTCTCTGACAGCTTGTCATAGAGCCCCAGGAAGTCACTGAACCTCCTTTTGACTGAGAACTGCTTGCTCCTGAACATCGGCATGCTGGTCTGGGGAAGAGATGGCACTTGGGTCACGCTCCCCCAGGACAGCCTGGCCCTGCCAGCTCTGCCTGCTGGCACCTCTGGGGTGAATGGGACAGTGGCAGCTCCGCAAGATGTGAGCAATGAACAGAGCCAGTTTTGGCCCAGGTTTTCCACAGCTTCTCTCCCAGCTGGGTTCCCCCTGGAGCCAGCAGCAGAATTAACAGCATGAAACAACAAACAGCTGTTCCTGCAGCCATTGGCTGCTTAGTAAGCCCTGCCTACTGCCTAATCCCATCATCCCTGCTCCACACAGGAACAGGGACACACCTAAAGACTACAGGGCCCACCAGTGCTTTGGACTGAGTTTGCAGATCAGGAATTAAGGATAACAAATCCTCGTCTCTTCTTCAGACCACAGGTTGCCTGTAGCCCAGCAGCCACGGTACAGGCAGCTGGAGCAACTTTCCGGAGCCCAGAGCAGGACTCCAAAGCATTCCAGCAGCTGCATTTCTCATGGAAACTGAGGGGAATCGGTCCTGATGTGAATGCAACTACAGCAGCAGCTCTGCAGAGTGTTGAGCTCAGGTCTGCTCTGTCTGATGCTGCCACTGGCACAGAAGCTGCAGCAGCAGCCCCGGGCTCAGGGACTCTCCCAACAGATGTCATTCCTGCTCCCTCCAATGCTGAGCATCCCTCTCAGCCAAGGCTGCAAAGAGGTAACTGGCTGTGAAAACAAAGCCAGTCTCCTTTCAAATAGATTCCAACCCCATTCCTCTGCTAGGCTCATCCTCTGTGGATTATAACTCCTGAATCCACAGAACAAGGCATTCAGGCCTCCTGTTTATTTAGGTCACTGCTGGCTTGGCTAAGGACACACAGTCCAGCTGCCTTAAAGCATGGAAAAATGGAAAACTAGACACAGAGGGGTTAGACATACCTGTGTTGACACTTTGTAGGCTACGTAGGCATTCATGCCATCCCCTAAGGAAAACAGAAACGAGGTGTTGGGATCACAACATCAGCACTTTCCACTATTCCCTGAACACAAAGCACAAGGCTCCTGACCTTTTCCTGCCTCAGTGATCCTGATTTCGGGTCTGATGGAGCCCTGCATCTTGCTGCAAAACCAGAGGCAGCTTCCTGCTGCATGGCCCTGGACTCCTGCCCAGCAGCCACTTCCCAACCTGCTTATGCCTCCCCACACTTCCTACGGGAGCCAGCGCTGACAATTGGGCACTTGTTGTGCCAGCAGCCTCTGGGCTGGCTCCACACATCTGCTCAGACCCCAACAATTCGGGGGCTGTGGGGCACATGAAACAGTCTATTCACAGGATGCAAGTCAGGCTGGATGGGGCTGGATCCTGGAACACCACAGGCAGTTTGCTCCAGCTCACACAGAAATGCCCTTGTTCACCTGGCAGTTCATCTGAAGGGCATCCTCCGAGCTCCAGTGCTGCCCTTAAGATACATCTGATTTACACCTCCCAGCTCCAGAGATCACAAGCCATGGGGTGGGAACAAGCTGCCACTCGTGGGGCTGCTCTGCTGGCTGGGATCAGATGTCCCCCTGGGTTTTCTGCACCCCAGGAACTTCCACATGGCTGGTCATGACACTCTGACCCCTCTTTCAATAGACAGAAACCCTCTTGCTTCTCATTTTGAAGGCAGAGTTGGTTCCCTGGCAAGCCCAGCTTCCAGGGAATGTGCCAGAGCATGGAACAATGCACTCAGTTTCAGGTTAAGGGAATTCTGCTTACCCATGCCAGCTCCACACAGGGCAGTGCTGCCTGGAGGTCATGCCAAGTTGGTCACCACAGTGCCAGGACCAAGAAACCCAAAAACCTGGCTCTGGCCTTTCTAGAACCTGCCCCTGCTTTGCTCATTCTGGGCTTTGTGCAGCACCATTTCTTTAAGATGCCAGAAGAAGCCTTGGAAATGTTACTCAAGGCTCAGGTTTGTGCTTAGAGACAGCCCAGAGGCAGGAGCTGCAGGGCCCAGCCTGGCTCCCCCAACCTTCCCCCATGCAGGACTGTAACTCACCAACTTTCTCTGGGTCACTCACTCCCACAGTCAGGTCAAATTTGTCCTCCTGCTCCTCCTCCTCCTCCAGCTGTTTGGAGGAAGCACAGAGGGACAGCAAGTCAAAGCCAGGAAAGCAGGGTTCCACCCACCCCAGACCACTGGGGTGAGCTTGTCCCCCTGCAGGGCACCTCCAGCACCTCAGTGTGGCCAGGACTGTTCCATAAAGCCTTCCAGCTCCTCGTCGTGCCCAGGCAAGGATCCCAAACTGGGTTTGTTATTCCTACCCCACTGATGCACAAACTGCTCAGCCCCAGGAAGAAACTGCAGAGCTCTGATTCACAGCTTGGACCCTCAGGAGCAGGTCCACCACTGTGATAGCTCTGCAAGGAATCTGGGCTCCACAGGAGCAGGAATGCCACCCCTGAGCCCCAGTCCAGTGGTATCAGTCTCAGACTGATGGCCTGAGATACAAATCAGGGCATTCAATGAGGCAATTACATATTAATTACATCATTTCAGATTCACGTTTACAACTGAGTACACAGAGAGGCTCCTGCCAAAGACAGTTTGAAACCTGGAGGACAGTTTGGAATTCTCACCTCCTCATAGCTCTTTGAAAGGTTTCTAGAAGAACTTGCTGCTACATCTAATGAGGGGGGCAAAGGACTGGATGGTTTGGCCACCTCCTTCTTCTGGTTGTTCTGAGTGTTATCAAGGGACAGCTCCACAGTGGCATCTGTCAAAAGAAGTTTGCAAGGGTCAGCCTCTCTCTTGGGGTTTATGGAAAGGCAAGTGCAATATTCTCAGATTTGTGGGATCCAGGAAGTAACAACAGTCTTAATTAGCAAAGAAATCCATGGGGAGAACATCTGTAAGCACTGGGAAGAGCAAAACACAGCATCATCACTGCAGTAAGAGCATTTCATCGATCCTGCTGGGCAACATCATGTTAGTCCAATGAACTTCTTATTGCAGAAGGAGCCAGGCTTCACCTCTCCCTGATCACCTCCTTGCTGTGTGCCTGAGGAGCTGCACCCCAGAGCAGCTAAAGCCAAGGCAGATTTTACCTGGGAGGAAGGCTGCTTCCCAGGCTACCTCTCCACCTGCAGGATGTAAAAACTTCCACCTCTTAGCACAAGTATCCAGAACTGACTCTCAGCCCATCATGCCAGGGCTGGGGAATGTCTGACCCTCCTCATTCTCCCCTGCTGAGGGGAGTTGTGTTTCCTGTTCCTTGGGAACAGCCAGGTCTCTACTAGAGATGCTTCCTCCACTGGCCTGGAGTCAGGAGAAGGTGGAGAAGGAAAACTCTTTACCTCTGAGGAGACACTCCCCACCTCAGGGCTTAAGGCAACAAAAGCAACCCTCATTTTAATCCTCTTCAGCTCCCAAGCAGTTACTCCTGTGGCAGGATTATCCTAGAGACCTGGCAGAGGCTGCTCCGACCTTCCTGAACACAGCCCCAGAGCAGGGGGACTCAAACATATGTTTTAGATAAGGACTTATGATCTGCTTTTGGTTATGGGTATTTTAGGACTATCACTCCAGGCCTGGGGCTGAGAGAGGCCCAGCACACACAGACTCACCTGCAAACAGGTCCTGATCATCCTGCTCCACGTGAACTCCGTTCTCTTTGGAGGAGCTGCTCACAGGGAGAGGAGGTTCTTCTTTCAGGGCCGGGGAGTTGCTCTGTGAGAGGATTAAAAGGTCAAAGACAGGTCATTTACACTGAGGGATGGAGGAGCAAACATGTCACCTTGCTTGCCCACCACCCTGTGCCCTTCAGCACCACCCTTGCTGCCACTTTGAAGGACAACAAGCATCACACCAAATCTGGAGCCAGTTTCCACCCAGAAAGGACCATCCTGGCTGCTGGGAGCAGGCTTGGGGACAAGGGGACAGCCCACCTGAGAGCTTTTATGCCAACCAGTCCTCCCCAGCAGAAGACAGAGCTGCTCCAGCATTGCTGTTACAGACGCCTGCATCCCAAACCATCCCTCATTTTGCAGGCAGATGTCCCATGGAAGAAGGGGACAGCAAGTGCTGTTCTGTAGGTCCCAGCAGAGAACAGAACAGGTCTTTGATGGGCAGTAAATGGAGCTCTATCAGACACTCCAAACCAGCAGCTCCTTGGCACTCTCTCCAGCAAGGCAGTGTCACGGATCACGTCGCTCCCGAAGGAGTGAAGCTGCTGAGGCAGCTTTTCTTTAAGGTGGGCTCGTGTCTTTGGGTGGTAAAAACAAAACAGCCATCAAAACACTCACTTGATGGCAAGAGCTGCTGTATTTTGGGAGCTTTTCCTAGAGGAGGGGCTGCTCCCAGCTTGGATCACAGCAGTTAAAGGCACGAGCTATGTATGTTAGTGATGGAGAGTGGGGAGCAGAGACCTCCATGCCAAACATCCCCCAGGGTCCTTCAGACTGGTGTCCAAGCCAACAAGAGGACTGGTGCCAGTGGTGACCTATGAGGAAAGGGCTCACACAGCTCCTCTGCTCCCCCAGGAGATATTCAGGCTCATAAAGAAGCCCACAGCACATGGACAAAGTGGTTTTCTACTGCAACTGCTTCCCAGCTTGCTTTAAATTTAGTTCCTCAGTTCCTTTAGTTCCTCAGACATGAAAGCACCACGCCCTGCTCCTACTTCTCCATCTGCTGCTACAGAGGAGCTGTGGCCTTGTTAGATCAGCCCAAACAGGACACCAGCAATCTCTGAGGCAGGATTCAGCACCCCCAACATCACACATGTGGGCAGAGGTGCCCCTGTGCCAGCCTGACCCTCACCACAGGGAAACAGAACTTGTTTGGGAAGAGCTGATCCTTGGAGGCATCCCTAGAAAGAGCCATGGTCACACAGGGATCCAACCTCTGTCAACAGACAGGTGAGGTCCAGCTCTGGTTCTGTTCAGGTCTGCCCAAACCCTGCTGGTTGCCCAGGTGCTGCTGAGCCTCCTGAATGCCAGCAGCCAGGCAGATCTGCCTCCCCTGCTTCTCAGAAAGTGTTTTCCTACCGTTCAAGGGCACAGACAAGCAAAGCCACCGGCTCACAAGAACAGGCCTGTGTTAGTTACAACAGTGGCTTCCACAACAAAGCCAAACACCTGATAAGCTGCTGTGGCTCACCAGCCTCCCCTTCCAGCACAGAGATGTGTGATTCCCATGAAATCCCACAGCACTTGGTGCTCACCCCTCTTGGACCATCAAGCCACCTCCTGCATCCTCCAGTTCTTTGCCAAAGGAAGCTCCTGGGAGGTTCCAGACCATCTCCATGACCTGGTGCCTGCCATAGGTACCAGCACCTTCCTCTTGCACGGCCCAGGGCTGGACTTTCCCAGCTTTCCAAACATACAGCCCAGCTGCTGCTTTGCCCAGAGCAGTGTGAGTTCCACCCTCACAAGGTCACAACCTATCCACATTCCCCCAAATCTCCCTTTTTCCCTGCTGCAAAGCACAAGCACAGCTCACAGACACCAGGCAGGAGCTGCACCAGGAGTAGGGCAGAGGCAGCTCTGGCTTTGTGTCAGTGGCAGGAGAAGCCTGGCCAGGCCATTCCCAGCAGGTTTGTTTGGTCACGGCCACAATCTCCTGCTTGAGGCCTCCCTGGGCTGGAAAACTGCAGAATCTTCCTGGAGAACTTCCTGCCACAGACACCAACTCCTCCTGTGCCTCCAGCTGAATCTGGCAGGCTGGAAAAAGTCTGGGTGAGGTGGGCAGAGGCTCCCAGAGCTCAGGGAATCAACCCCACAGCATTCCAGCCTCCAGGAAGAGCTTCTGTGGCCCCCCTAGCTGAGGTCCTTGCTCCATGAAGATGCTGATCCCAAGGACCAGTGGCTGACTGGGGAAATTCAGCTGACTGGGATGCAGCTTGGGAAAGCACCGGTCAGTTTTTCCTCCCCTCCTGCCTGCTGGTCACTGCCTGGAGCAAACCTGGGAAATGCCAGCGGGAGTCAACGCCAACAGCCTTCAGCAACCTGGACTTGCTGCCGAGGGGACTGCTGGAAACAAAGAGCTGCTGACACCCTTCACACCTCCACCTTCAGCACGGATTTGTGCAGCAGCACCCGGTTTGCTGAACAAGTACCACCAAAGCCTCCAAAACCCTCCTGCAGCACAGCACGAACCACCAGCGAGAGGGGACACTGATGCCTCCTGTCACCTCACCTCCACACCACCCTCAATCTCAGACTGAAGATACCACGGCAGCACCCTCTGGATGTTGAGGGGACAGAGCTGGTGATGCTGGGGGAAGGCAGATGGGCTTCAGCTTCCTCACAAGCCGCGCAGAGAAGAGGCTGAGCTGCGGCTGCCGCTCTAGGATGGCCGCCAGGGACCCTGAAGCCCACCTCGCTCCACCAGCTGCCACGGGCAGCAACACCTTCCACCAGAGCAGGCTGCTCCAAGCTCCACCCAAGCCGTTCCCCGCAGGAACGGAGAGGCTCCAGCCCGGGGGACGGGGCGCGGCCGGGCACAGCCTCTCCTCGATCCCACAGCCACGGGCGCCGCGCTGAGCCCCGCCGGCCCGCGGCTCCCCTGAAGGGACACGACCAGAGGCACGGCCCCCTCCCCCTTATTCGGGGGGTTCGGGGGTGTTCCGCACTATTTTCACCATCCAGGAGGATGCCCCGGGCAGCTCCTCGTACACGGGCCCGGCCCCGCAGCGCCCCCGGGGCGGCGCGCCGCCCGCGGCCGCACTCACGCTGCCGGTGAAGATGTCCTCGCCCTCCGAGTCGCTGTCGGGGGCCCCCGGCCCGCGGTGCTCGGGGAAGGGCGGCGGGCGGCGCTCGGCCGGGGAGGGCGAGCGGGACCCGTGGCTGCCGCCCGACGCCATCGCCGCCGCTTCCGCCCGCGCCCGCCCCGCCGGAAGCGCCCGCCACGCCTAAACCCGCGGGGCGGGGCCTCGACTGCGGGCGGGCTGCCGATTGGGCAATGTCGCTGCCCGCCCCGCCCCCGCCACCAGAGACAGCCAATGAGCGCCGCCGCTGGCAGGCGCCGCGTCGTCACCATGGAAACGGGGGTGCCGGCCGTACCATTGCGGCGGACAGAGGAGCGCGGCTCCCCCCGGCCGGCAGGAGTGGGGGCGCTCAGGGCGCCGTGTCCCGCAGCGCCCCGGCCGAGGGAGCCCGCACCCCGACAGCGACACCCTGGCCTCTCGCCAGCCCGGGACACTGCCGCAGCGCCAGAACACGCCAGGCTGAGCCCCTTCCCACCCAAAAAACATCGCAGGGTGAGCTCTGGACCTTGAAGATGTCCCAGAATGAGCCAACATAACCTAGAGATGTCCCACCACGACCCCCATGCAAAGCCTAGGACACCCCAGAAGGAGCCCTATAACACTCCAGATATCGCAGGATGAGCCACAGACCCTGAAGATGTCCCAGGATGAGCCATATTCACCCCCAAGATGTTCCAGGATAAGTTCCAGACCCTGACAACGTCACAGGATGAACACCACATACTCACCAAAACATCCCAGGATGAGCCCTAAACCGTTTAAGTTATCCCAGGCTGAGTCATACACTCACCATCATTTTGCAAGATGAGCCTCAGACCTTAAAAATACCCAGAATGCACCCTACACCCCACCAAGACATCCCAGGATGAGACCCATACCCCTCAAAGCACCTCAAGATAAGTTGTACAGCACCAGAAACATCCCAGGATAAGCCTCACACCCTGGAGGTAGACCAGGATGAGCCCTATAAACCCCCAGAACAGCCCAGGATGAGCCCCATACACCTACCAAAACCTCCCAGGATGAGCCCCATAACCTCAAGACATCCCAGGATTAACCCCATAGTCCCACAAGACATCCCCAGATAAACCCCATACACACCCCCAAAGACATCCCAGGATGAGACACACATCTTGAAAATGTTTCAGGATTAACCCCATACAATACCCAAGACAGCCTGGATGAGCTCCACACACCCCAAAACATTCCAGGATGAGCCCCACACACCTCCTTCCTCCCCAGGACAGTGACAGCCCATGGTCACGGGTCACACCATGCTGTGGGGCCAACAATGCTCTCAGGAGAGCACCAGGAGGAGCTGGGCAGGTGAGACACCCCAGACTTCCAGCAGTTCTGGATTAAAGGAGAACATCCAAATGCAGCTGAATGATCCGGGGGTCTTCAGAAGTACAATACACCCCTGAGCTGGATTCATTCCTGGGTGTTGCCCCATGGAGAGGGTCTGATCCTCCATGTGGGAAGCACTGGGTGCTGTGGGAGAGTAACAAAGAGATGGGTTTTCCTTCTTTTCCCTCCTGTAATGGAGCAGCAAAATCCAGGAGAGATCTCCAACCTTCCATGCTAGAGAACTTGGTCTAGCACACATTTGCAGCCAGGTCACACTTTCATCCTTCAGCCACACTGGCAGTCAGGCAAGGAGCAAACAGAAAACAGAACACAGCTTATCTTTATCTGAAGGACTTGCCAGTGTCCTCCCCAGCTCCTGCTATCAATGAGCAGCTGCTAATTCTCTCCTGCCTGAAATTCTCCCTGGGATTTGTAACAGCAAGGTCGGTTCTTTCACTGCCAGGTGAGACCCCACACTGGAATTCTCCCACATTGCCTTAGTGGGGTTGGAACAAGGGGCTCACCCCATGGAGAACCTGCCAGGGTCACTCTTTTGAAGAGGATGGCTAGGAATGAACACAGCTGTTCCAGAAAACTCCCTAAGGATAAAGCATGAGGAGCATATACATTCTTTAAGATGAGCAGGAGGAGATACAGCTGCCAGAAGGATTGGGAGGTCCTGCCAGCTGGACTTTGCACTCTCTGAAGGAGAAGAAACTGAGCTACCTTGATGAGCAGCAGAAATAAGTCCCACCCAAGCCCTCACAGCCTTATTCTCTGTAAATTCTCCCTTTGGCCCCTGAAGGATGCCCTTTTAAAGGAATTAGCTTTATCCACTCAAGGTTGGAGCTTGAGCAGTCTGAGGATGAGACAATTCTGTGCTGCAAACCTCTTTTGAGTACACACCAGGCTTTGGGTGTCAGGTTTAAACCTCTGGGTGGGTGGGGGTGGCCCAGTCCCAGCTCTCCCACAGGACTAGGGGAAATCCCACCATAAAACAGGCAGGAGCTACCAAGATTCCCACAATGGGAGCAGATACTGCACACACAGAGCTCAGATACAAAAGTGAAGATCAGCTTGGGGTAGTCAGAATTGCTGGAAGACTTCAGACTAAACAGCCTTTGGGAGCTCATCAGAGACAAGAGGTGCTTTATTACCCACCCACATCTGTTTAAAACTTCCCCACCATAACCTTCCCATGTTACACCAATCTTTACTTCCCTATCAGGCCAAGCTCTGACTTATCTTCACCACCACATCCCTTCTTTCCCAGCCCATTCCCCTCCCTATGTGTGCTCAGGTGTGTGGGGCCTCTGATCCCCTCTCCAAGCACTCCTTTCTCCTCTCCTCAATCCTCTGAGCATCCCTCCCCTCTCCTGTCCCAGACCAGGGGTCTCCTTGCCCAGCAATGCCCATAGGACCACTGTGCATCCAACATAAGCTGCCCCAGGAGCCAGATGAGCTCATTAATCACCTTTTTATTTTATTTCAAGCACTGTACAGAATGTGCCAGAGACAAAATCCCCCCCAGGTGCTCCCAGCGCCCCTGTGCACTGCCTCGGCCCCTGCCATGACCCAGCACCCACCACTGCCAGGGGGGAGGCCAAAATAAGTTACACCCACCCACCCCCGTGCTCCCAGGCACCGGGACAGGGCGGCATCAGCCCCTGGGCGCCAGCCCTGCCCGTGTCACCCAGAGTGCCCCGCACCAGGGTAAGCGTTGGCTTCCAAAGCCACGGCATCGGGCCCTGCCCACCCCGGCACCACCGGCTCCAGACCCCACCCCCAGCTCCCAGGGCTCAGCAGAGCATGTCAGCCTCCGCGGGCAGCGGGGAGCACCTGCAGGGAAAGGATGAGGTTGGAGTATCAGGGTGCTGGTCTGTCCCAAAGAAGCGGGAGCAAAGGCACCAGGATCAGCTCAGACCAGCAGATATCTGGAGAGAATTCCAGGGGGGGATGGAAGCAGTGAGCCCCCAGTCTATGTGCTCCTGTCCCCCTGGGGGATCCCCAGGAGAGCCATTCCAGGCAGTACTCACTCGGACATCTTGGTTGCCAGGTGGTAGACAGTCTGCTTGTCCAGGTAGCGGCAGAAGAGC